TCATCGATTATCGACTTATCGGCACTCGTGGTGGCCAAAGGTTAAAATTACCGTTCTCTTTTACAATTATTTTGAGATTTTGAGAACTGGTCGCTTAATAGAGGGTGGCCCCTAAACACCGCGAAGATTTGGTGCCACACAGTATAATTCAAATCAAAGAGCCGTTAGGAAATTTTCGCTTCCATCGTCAGCACGATCTTTCACGTATCTAAACAAAGGGAATAACCTTGCAGGCATGAGCCAAGAGCCCATTATTCTGAATTACTTTATTTTTTGGATTATCCGCTCAGCCTCTATAATAACTGAGCACTCTCCGCGAATAAGCGCCCACAAAAATTGATTTATACATCTTCACAATTTATTAACTGTTTTGGGCAAAATAAGCATATTACTTGCTGAAAATAGATAGCCCCCAGCCTCGAAGAAGCGCCCGCTATCAAATTCTAAAAACTTATTAAATGCCCAGGAGCTTTATCTAATAAAGGCAGTTCTTGTAAACATAAGTCAGCTGCGTAGGTTGGAATGGAAGCGAACTGGTGGCCAATACTTTTATTGGCTAAGTCGATAAAAGCTATTTCTAATTATCGATTTGCTTTGCTATTTGAGCTTGATACTCACAGACTGATATATAATTAATGGCCACTACAACGTATCAGCTACATATCAAATTGTCACCACCGCAATACTGTTATTGAGAAGAAGTCCGTTATAACACTCGAAATACCGCGTCTAGTAACGCTGTTGTTACTGATATCTACATTTTGCGGAGAATTGCGAAAACGTAAACGTTGATCATAAGGAATGCACCGCTACAGCAAAGTAGTGAGAGATCTTTTTGTTCCTTAACCTGTCATGTTGCAATCTGAGATTTGTCTAGCGGCTTTCTCATTGAATTAATTATGTTCCTAACTGATATATTTGTATAGATCTGTGTGAATACTTCTTAGTGATTGAGTTCTTAATATTTAGACGATTCTCTTTTCATAAGAAAAAAAAAAAGCTCAAGTTTTACAACAGACCATACAGGTCTCTTGAGTTGTTTAAGGCTATCTCACACTGGATAGCTTTTTGTGCTTTTCCAAAAGCTCACTGTGTAGTATCCGTATCATATCAGTATGAACACTTATCCGATGAGTGACTCTCCACTTCAGAGATCGGCACGGGGCAGCTTTGCTCCGTTACAATAGAATAGAATCAATAGAATAATTCTTTATTTAAACACGGTAAAATTCATCAGAAGTATAAAAAAATTTCAATAAACCTAACTACCATAAACAATATGCAAAACTATCTACAACTAACCTAACTAAGATTTGTTTTTCATGAAAGCCTTGTACAAAGTACTTAAAAAATCAGAAATTCAGATGAGCCAATAACTTAAATTGACTTAAAGATTTAGCCGCCCCCATATCACAGGGCAGGTTGTTGCAGGGAACTGCTCCGCTATAACTGAAGGTGTTCTTCACGAAGTTAGTTCGCGGGTACGGGACAATTGGTTTGTTAACAGAGTCTCTTAAGGAGTAGCGCGTTTCATATCGTTTAACAAATTTAGAGGATAATTATTCTGGAACAAGATCAGTTAAAGACTAGTAAACCATCAGGGCGTTATGTATTTGAAACTGAGTGCTCAAGTCTTTCCAATTAAGTTGTCTAAATAAGCGTTTGTCATCAGCATCATGAGAAAAGGTTAGAACACGGGCAGCACGGTTCTGAAGCGTTTGTAGTCTGTCAAACAAAGTTTCTCCGTTACAGAAATCGTGCCCAAGTGTGAACAGAAGCCTTATCCGATATGGTTATCGGCAACGGTGCACCGAGTAGAACCTGCACATAGTCAAGACTCTGTTACTCGTGAAAAAAAATTTCCATGACGATCCTTTGACTCTTGAATTTCGTGCGATGCCGCGCACAGGTACTTGTCAAACACTTCAACGGCATCCATGCGAGAAGTATAACGCTGATTCACTGAATCAATAAGGTTACTTTTAGGCATTGGGAATTGCGAACTACGAAGCTATTGTTTGGTGGTCACTCAAGCATATCATTGCAGTGAGTTTCTAAGGCATGGGTCGCACTTAGCAAATTTTTGCGAGAATTTGTTTACCTTGCGGTAGAAATCTGTCATCGGTGGACATTGCTAAGTGCGGATCCGAGTTTTCAAGTTAGGAAAAACTTTGAAAATCGGCAAAAACATCAAAGACGCCGTAGTGCTTGGGTGGGGCAGACAGATTTTGGAAAACTCGAGCTAAACAATAGGAATCACAGCGGTAACTGTCACCCCCTTGTCATGAACGTGATCCATTTGAAACACGATCAATTTAAAATAAACGCGGTCGAATTTTCAGACCTTCGCTATCCTTCGCCATTTCAAGTTTTTTTCGAAAACTCTCTACAGTCAAGGACTTCACTGGCTTTTAAACCTTCGCTATTGCAAGGTTTTTACGGGAACGAGCTCTATTGAAGGCGAACCAGTTCCCGTCTGCACAAGCAAACACTTCACAGGTTTGTTATTCTCCAAGCCAAATGTACTATTCGCATCCAAGCACTTTCCGGTCTTCTTTATCTGTCCCATCCTCCTGAAACTGGGAATGGAGGAAAAAGATCCTTCGACAGAGGTGCGGACGAAGAAGAGAAAAATGTTTTCTGGTATCTGGCGTTCTTAAGTTCTAATGTGTCAAAGCAAAAACTATTAACTCCCACTAATGCGACCCTCCTCGGTTGGAATAAAAGTTTTCTTTTCCGGTTGCGGTTTCGAATTTTTGTGGTTTTTTAGCCGGCAAAGATGAAAACTTTTCCCAAGTGCGACCCATGCCTTATGCACAAATGCCCAATGCACAATTGCCAAAGGAAACTTTATTTAATAAGGTATGTTGTCCAACCGTTCCTTTAAAAGAGTCGAGGTGTACGGGTTATTTTCTAATGGTGCAATAACTGCTTACTGGGGTTAACGCAGGAGAATCTATATCGTCTGTACTCTGAGTTCCTAACATTGTCTTCTTCTATAAATAATTAGTCATATCTTCCACATTAAATAATTAATTACTTTCAATGTTTCTTAAGGGGAGTATTTTTCCTTGGAGCCTGTATATTTGTTTTCTTTTTCACTTGCATTTATTTGAGTAAGTTCTTGTTCACAAGTGTACGTATCCTTAGCTATTTTTTTTAACAGACCGAGTGTTTGTTTGTTTGTTTGTTTTTGCGGGTTGGGCTTCCTTCAACACGTAACCCGGCGATCAAAATTTTGAAAACACCGCTTTCGCGTACTTATGAGCGGACGGCTGAAAACGAACAGTTTCGAAGATCACGGAATAACAGGATCTGATCTCGTACAGGAGAAAGAATGCCATTGAACTGTTTCGGCTTTTTTTAAAGATTTATAACATATCTGAAGTTCATTTTTTTTTTCTTTCAAGAAGTTTGTTTTTCTTGTTACTTGACTTTATCAGTCGACTCGAGTAGTTCAACAGTCAGGTCTAAGTTTGGGCGATACGTTTAAGTGCTTAGCGAGACATCTTTCCCCAGCAAACATTTTTTTTTTTTCAGAAAGGAGTGGGAGAACATATGACAACATATGTTTCATTTCAAACTTGAAAATGGGATATGTTTCGACGGGGGCAACGATTCAAACAAGAGGGGCAACTTGTTTGCAACCAAAAGAAGAGCCTTTCTTCAAATAAATGCTGATACTTGTGGACGAGCTCTATAAAAAGATAACACAATATATTAAGTATCATGCATGTAAATGTTAGTCAAACTACCTAGCTTCCATTTACTGGTCGTAGGCGTTAAATTAATTTACATTCTAGCTTCCATTAGACGACCGTGGGTTCCTTGCCATTTGATATTTTCAATTAAAATTTGATGTACGTCACTGCCGGGCGTCTAAAATTTAAATCGGGACACTATTAAATTAACAGCAGCTAAATTTGCTGACAGAGACTGTTGCCTAGAGAAGGACATCGAAAGATACTGACAACACATCACTCTGCAAGCTGTCGCAGGAAACTCGAAAAACTAATTTACTCGAGACTATTAGTACAAACAGGTAAAACTAAACTCTAAAAACTGATAAGAGGAGTTCAGTCGAGTTTTCACTTCCCTTTTGAGCCGTCTATTTAAAATTTGTTAAGATTGAGTTTTGTTGTATTTTATTCCAATTAGGTGTTGTTTGTAGAACGATAACGTCCTCGCTTAAGTTTTATTAATAGTCCATAATAGGAAGGAAACAGCCATAAAGATAAGAATTTTTCAACAACGGCGCTGAACGTGCAAAACGTTTTTTTTTGAACATTTCCGTATAGTCACTGCACGTCAAGGCATGAAATTTCCTAATGCGACGTGTATTAAAGAACGTAAACAATTGATGAATTTTTACCTTCTCTACATGAATTTTGAAAAATTCGTCTCCAGGAAGATTTACCCGCTTCAACACTCTAATAGGCGAGGATACATGCCAGCTGTTTCAGGTGTTTGTTTGTAACAAGAAGGTCTTGGAAAGTAGAGTGAATGAGCTTGAGAAAAAGTCGGCTCCTTTGAGCTTATAATAGTTACTTAACTGTTTCACAGGCTAACTAAATTCACTCCAGCTCAGCTAGTGGTTTAATTTTGTGCTATCCTTTTTTCCAAATTAATATCAATGAGAGATGGGCTTGAGGAATGGACACGAGAGAACTTCCTATTCATTCTGAGAAAATGATCGCTTAACATTTCTTTTCTTTCATCCCCGAGGCAGGCACTAAAGACGAAGTTGCGTCGCCAAAGCTTTCAAAAACCTGTCCCTATTGTACAAAATATTTTACTAGCATATTTAATTCATGTAATTCAAATAGTTTTATTTCCTGAGCACTTATGCAAATTTTCGCCCTCATGTATTTATGCTTTTAGAAAGAATAAATGACAAGGAAAATTAGTCGCGGACAGATCCAACTTCCCTGGATGTTCCTATATTGTAAAAAAGAACATAATTTGTCTTTAAAAAAGAGTTCTTTAGAAAAACAATTTATATGTATATATTTTTTTCAGCCATGACTCTAAGAATAGTTTTCCGTACCTCCGTTCTGGTTCTCCTGATTTACAGCGCAGTAACTCAGAAATGTCCTGCAGGTGGAAGATCCGAGAGCTCCATCGTGGGCTGGATGTTACGGGGACACGTGTACGACACTCTTCTCGCTGAACTTCCGTTTGCGTGCGTATTCAAGTGTCGCGAAGACAATCGATGCCAAAGTTTTAACTGGGTTATCTCTCTTCTCACGTGCGAGTTTAACAACAGGACAAAGGAAGCCAGGCCTGAGGACTTCATTCCAAACCCAGACAGATCTTACTATCGACGTGATTTAAAACGAGGTGAGCCTAGTGAGGGAGCATAAAGTATAACCTATGCAAGGGTAAAAGTAAACTGATATAATAAGGAACTGTTTTTGACCTTTCAGTTCCACTCGGCTCTATTCAAGAACTACCAGCAGAGTCTTGTGAGGAAATAAAGAGGAGCGAAGGGCACGCTGTCAGCGGGAAATACTGGTTTTCCTCAGTAAAATCTGGTACATCCGTCCTGGCTTATTGCAACATGGAGACCAACGGTAGGTCAGGTCTTCGACTGACAAAAAGTTAGCCTGGACCAGGCTCGTCTCCCTTCGCAACCGATTTTATTATTATTATTATTATTATTATTATGAAAAAAATGCTAATTATGTAAAGCGGAGTCGGAAACATCTTGACTTAATAGTCTTAGTTTGTAATTATTATTATTATTATAAAAATAATAACCTTTTATTGATAACAAAACTAACTATTAAAACCTATTTACAAATAATTTCGCTGAAGATGAAAGAATATGTATATTCAGTCAAAGCACTATTTACAAATCCTTTCGATTAAAAAAAGACACTTAATTTCGAAATTCATTCCATTAAAAATATATATATTGGAAAAAAAATTCAGTGAAAAAACGGTTCACTTCAACTAAAACAGTAAATTACCGAGCTCACGCCATTATCACGCACGTTTTTTTTTTTTTTTTTTTTAATATGTTTATTGATAATCACATTAAATAATTACATTTACAAAACAAAAAAAAAAACACTTTAACAAGAGACATTAACAGAGTAAAGCAAAAAAAAATTGTCAAATTATTACAGGAGGTGTTACAGGGCTAAAAGAAATTATAAAAAAGTACAACAGGGCAATGAAATAATACGGAGTTAATACAGTTAACTTAAATAAGGCGTCAGTATCCACTTTCTTTTAAAGAATTCTTTGTTGCTGATTTTTTCTTCTGTTTCATATTTAGCGATGATCTTGGCTCTAAATCCATAAATGTTTGGAGGGATTTGTTTGCTCCTGCAGTCCCACAAATAGAGTTTTCCAATAATTATACAATAGTTCAGCAATTGAAGTAAAGGGCAAGCATTTTCCGTCAAAATTCCAAAGAGCACATTTTCCAAGCACAGACGAATTCGTTGATACGAAATAAGGCACCAATATAGTTCAAATTCAATCCAAAACTGTTTAGAGCATGAGCAGTGATAGAACAAATGAGTTAATGATTCAGGTTGATTGTCACAGAAAGTACATAAATCATTTGTCCTAAAACCTATTTTATACAACTTTGTATTTGTGTAAAGAATTGAGTTAATTACTTTGTACTGGAAGGCTTTAACATACGATTCAACAACGATAGAGTGTGGCAGCTTAAATAATTTCTTCAGATTGTCGCTGTTAAAATGAAAGTTAATCTGTAATTTTTGAATAATATTGGGCGGTTCAGCTTTTTCTCTGATGAGTAGGTTGTAGTAATCCTTTGATTTCCCTTTCGTAACATCAAAATTATTGTCACCCACCACAAATGTTGGTGAGTTTATTCAAGGATACCTGTCATAACTTCTTAACGATAATGGAATGGACCGGCGTAAGCCAGCCCATTCTAAAATATTTGTTTTGCATATTTTTTTAGACAGTTGGTTATAAGAATCAGTACTGTTCAGACTAAATAAAAGATCCTGAATGCAAATGACTCTCGCATTAACATAATGTTTGTAATAAACCGGCTTGTTTTCTACTTTTATTTCTTTGTTATTCCAGATTATCGTTTTCCAATCTTCTTCAGTGGCAGACGTTTCACGAAATTGCGACCACATAACAAAAGTTCCTGATAAAATTGAGAAGGATTGTGTAATCCGAGATATTGTAGTTGCAGTTAAAAAAGAACAATCCCCCTACGGAGCTCAGTATGTGTTGTAGGTAGCTTTTCCAAGTTCCATTAGTCCCACTGAAGATAGATACGTTTACTTAACCATGCACTCGAGATCAACCATTCTTAGCCCTCCCTCTTCGTATTCGTTTATAACTGAAGCTCTTGTTACCTTATCTACACCTTTCCAGAGAAATTTAAACAGTATTTTATTCAATTCTTTTAGTAATTCCTTGGGAGTTGGAAGGATCGAACAAATGTAAATGTACTTAGGGATAACAAAAAATTTGATTATTGTCACCTTACTGTATATCGACAGGCCTCTACCGGACCATATATTAATAAGTTTTTTAATTGAATCCAGTCGTTCTATAAAATTCTTTTCTTTAAGCAATTTTTGGTGATAACTAAAATATACACCTAGAGCTTTTATTGGCTCGTCCGCCCATTTAATACCGAATGGTTTTTCTTTATAATGTCTCTTAGATCGAATCCACATACCTTCAGTTTTTGAACAGTTAATCTTGAGTCCAGAGAGAATTTCAAATTTGTTAAGTAGTTTAAATAATCTTGCGGCCGAGCTTGTGTCAGCTAACACAGCGGTTGTATCGTCTGCAAACTGTAGAAGCTTAGTTTCCTCAGTTCCTATTGTGATTCCTTTAATTGACTCTTTTTGCCTTATAGCAATTGCTAAAGTTTCTACAGCAATTATAAATAAGTAAGGAGAGAGTGGATCACCCTGCCTAACACCGCGTTCCAGAGTAAAAAAGTTAGAACTAACGCCATTGTTTATAACACAGCTTTGAATGCTGCTATAAAAGGTTTTCACCCATTGAAGGAAATCTCGACCAAAGTTAAACTTTTTAAGACTCTCAATGAGGAATTCCCATTCCACACTATCAAAAGCTTTTTGAAAATCTATAAACAGTAATAAACCTGGGATGTTTTCCTTAGCTGTGAAGTCCATAATATCGAAAATAGAACGTATTGCTTCACCAATGAAACGATCTTTAACATAACCAGTCTGGTTGTAGTGAATGATACTGGGTAACACCTTTTTAACCCTTGCTGCGATCACCTTGGACATAATTTTCGTACCTACATTAACAAGAGATATTGGCCGCCAGTTTTCGAGGAGAGTGCGATCTTTTCCGCTTTTCTCAAGCAGAGTAATTACAGCCTGTTTCTGTGAGCATGACATTTCCCCTTTTTCGAAGCATTCATTTGCACACCTGATAAAACGTTCGCTTATTAAAGGCCAAAATTTTCTATAGAATTCAGCTGGAATGCCATCATTTCCAGGGGATTTATTACTCTGAAAGCTATCCAAGAGTTCAGAACATTCTTCTGGAGAAATTAATCCTTCACAGGAATTTTTTTGCTCCTCTGAAAGTTGGGAAATATTCAGATCGTTCAAAAATGAAGATATTTTCTCTCCTATATTAGGACTATTAATGCTGCTTTTGTACATTTCTCTGTAAAAACGCTCTTGTTCTTTTAGTATACAGTGCGGATCCGTTGTAATTTTACCATTTATGCACAGATTTCTTATATGCTTCTTAACGTGGTTTCTTTTTTCTAAGTTTAAAAAATATTTTGTGCTCTTCTCTCCATGTTCATGCCATCTAGCACGTGCTCGTATTATTACGCCTTTGGTTTTTTCTTCGTAAAACGACTCCAACTTCTCCTGAACTACGTTATAATAGGTTTTGTTATGGTCGTTTGGATTATTTTCAAGTTTACTTTTTGCTTTAGTTAATTCCTCCTGAAGGTCAAGTTCCTTTTCCCCCCTTTCTTTTGCCTTTCTTTTAGAGTATTGAATAGCATGAGCTCTTATGTTATATTTAATCCAATCCCATATCATTCGATTATCTGTAAATTCTTTCTGTCCTTCCGCTATCCAAAGTGGAATCATCCTGGCTATATCTTCTTCGTAGTCTTCATCATCTAACAGAGAGCAGTTCATTTTCCAGTTTCCTGGCCCTTTCAATTCGTCCTCTAGCTTTCCGAGTTCTAAAGAAATTGCATCATGATCTGTTCGTACAGCCGGGATTATTTCGGTCAATTCAACAAAATCGCTCAGGTTGTTAGATATCAACCAGTAATCGAGACGACAAAACACCGGGGGAGATTTTTGACTCCACGTAAAACTTTTTGCGTCTGGATTTTTGGATCTCCAGATATCCACTAAATCTAATTTACTTTTGAAATCTTCGACACAAGAGATAACTGACTTCCTTTTTGTACTTGCTCCGCCTTTTTTGTTGAGTAATGGATCGAGTGGACAATTTAGACCTGCTCCTAGTATGATGTTATCCAAAGAATCCAGATTTTTATTTTGCAAAATTGAAAGTAGGTTGTTGAAAAAATTTACTTGCTCTTTATCTTTGTTCGGCGCATAAACATTAATCAGCACATCGCCCCTCGGGGTCTACAATTTTATGATTAATGCTGCCATCAATACCATTTTTAAACAAAATCGCAACACCTCGCGAATTAGAACTACCGTGGGAAGATATCATCTCAGCACCCCATTCATTTCTCCATTGATTCTCTGTTGCAGCGATCGAGTGCGTCTCTTGTAAAAAATCAAGGTCTGCTTTACGTTTACGACACCAGAGAAAGAAAAAGGAAATTACTTAAGCCCTTCACATTAAGCGATACTAGTTTAGAAGCACTGAACAACTAATGTCACTGTATGCAAATTGTGGGACTGCATAGCTGAAAACAAAAGAGCCGAACGTGTAATTGAACAAACGAAGGCGTGAATGTAGACATACTTTGAAAGCAAGTAAAGGATACTGATTGTGCATAGATAAAATTAATAAATAACCACAGTAAGCGAAAATTAGAATAGAAAAACACTCGAAAAAATCTCAAATACAACACTAACAGCGCACGCTTGGGTAGCGTTTAAGCAGCAGTCATCATTTAATGAAATCCCCTTGTGGAATTTTGTGGAAGAGTGTCCTAAAACTTGTTACGCATGTGTGTACCGACCTTAAAACCTCAAAAGAAAGCAATGTTCTAATCCAAGCGGCTAGGCGTTTGAGAAAGCAGTTGCAGTCGGCTGCCATCCCACGGTTGGTTCCATTATCATTATTATTATTATCATTATCATTATCATTATCATTATCATTATCATTATCATTATCATTATCATTATCATTATCATTATCATTATCATTATCATTATTATTATTAATTTTTTATTTCGCCTTTTCCCCCACTGTGGAGAGTCGGGTCTCAAGCTAACAAAAAGTCACTATCAGAACGTTCAGGTTACTTCTCCCATTTCGGGCACATGCACAACTGTATCCTGTCTAAGATAACACCACAAATTAATATTACTGACTTATTGCTGGAACATTTGTATAGAGCCTCATAAAATTTCGTTAAAGCAAGGACTTATTATAAGTTACACGCGGGAGGATAAAAAGTCTGAAATTTTTCTTTATACCAACCAAATAAAAATCTCACCAATAGTCCTGTTAAAACACCCTTTGTTCTTCCCATATTGCAGTTTAGGTATATGTGCTCCTTTTTCAGATGTTGACGAATGCAGTGCTTCTTCTCCTGTATGTGACAGAAATGCCATCTGCTCCAATACTCGTGGATCGTATATTTGTACCTGCAAGTCAGGATATACAGGCGGTGGAAAAACATGCCAAGGTACGTTTGAAAATGTCAGGTTAACGCAGAGGGCTAGGGACGTTTTTCTTTATACCAACAAAATAAAAATTTCACCAATGGTCCTGTTAAAACACCCTTTGGTCTTCCCATATTGCAGGTTAGTGATATGTGTTCCTTTTTCAGATGTTGACGAATGCAATGCGTCTTCTCCTGTATGTGACAGCAATGCCAACTGCTCCAATACTCGTGGATCGTATATCTGTACCTGCAGGGCAGGATATACAGGCGATGGAAAAACATGCCAAGGTAGGTTTGAAAATGTCAAGTTAACACAGCAGGTTAGGGAATTCTTTAAATTTTACATCTTGTGGCAACAATGAAGAAACTTTTCTAACAACCTTTTATTTTATCCGTCATGGCGGCCGTTAAGAACGGCTATTAACAACAGCCGTCGAATTTTTGTTTTCGCAGCCAAGTGAGATCATGCCTTGGGCTGTGTTTCGTACCTTCTGTACTCACCAGACTCGTTAATAGAAAGTCATGAAGCAAAATAAGCCAAATTCAACAAATGATGGAGAATATTTAATATGGCCTGTGTAGAACGTCATGACCCACTTTAATTATACCCAAAAAGTGAAAACAGCTACAGCAAACGCAGTAAACTAAAGTTACATGTAAGCCACCGGGGTGGCCAGAAAAATCCTGTCCCAAACAACGTCGTAGGGGAAAAGACAACAAATTTGGGACGAGCAAGGCACAACTGACTTCGTTTGCTGCATAAAAGGCCTGCACAAGTGAACAAAACCTAGAGGCTGCACAGTATACCACAGGTTTATTTTATAATAGTAATACCACAGTTTAATATTACTGACTCATAGCTGGAACTTTTGTAATATATAGACTTAGCAAGGGCTAAAAGCGAAGCTCCCATTAATAAATTTATTATTTACATCAAACAATAAACTTGTAATCCACAAAACAGTTAACTTAAGGGCACATATGTCACTTTTTAGGGAAAGCAAAGGCTAAGTGATTTTAGAGTGAAAAAGTCTTAAATCGAGTTGATAGCCTTATATGTACACCCAAAAAATAGAAATCATTTTCGATCACATTTAAGAGCCATAATGGCTCTTGATCAGAGTAGATTAGACCTGGAAAACGAATTCTTGGAAAACAAATCAGTTTTGTTCGACAAATTTACTTAACAAAATCTTGCCAACAAATCTGGGTGCGTGTAAACCAACATTTCATACTTTTTATACAACACATCCGAGATGAAACAGTAATATGAAGCTGTATTTATCATAGAAACCTTAGACAAAATGCAGTATTTCACAATTTTTCAGGAAAAATTGCACTCATTCAATATTCAGTACCATCGAAGCACGCGTGGGCTTTTAGCAAAACCGTTCAAAAAATTTCCAAAATCACCTATACGGCCAGCCAGTTCTCACTTTTGACAAGCGCCAAATTTTCAGTGAATATTAAAAGAGTTACGTTTCAACATAATAAATAATTTATTGTGTTTATATCTTATTTAATGGTTTTATAACGATGTGTATTCTTAAAAAGCGCTTGACACGCGGAGCCTTTTGAATACTCCTGAAGGCGATGTTTATGAACGAATGAAAACAAACTGCAAAGCGATTAAAATTGCAAGAGACTACTAACAATCAATAAAGGAAATATAATTCGGACAAACATTTACCGAGACAACAATTTTCATTCACGAAGACAAGTATTAAAGCGTCTCTAAAAATCCTGAGTCTTCAAGCTTAAGCTTAAAGCTTTTAGCCGGCTTCCCGGTGTTTACTGTTTTCAAAGATGAACTCGAGGTAAGAAAATCGCTCAAAGCCTTCTTTCTACAGCCAAAATTATTGTAAATACTCTTCGGAACGTTTTTTCTTTCTATTTGCGGTGATAAAATATCGACTAAGGGCTTTTTAAAGTTCTGTAAGCTCATATCAAACCTCATACTAGGTCAAATCATTGTCCTCAGATCTTAATACAAACATGCATAAACTAGCCTCATAAACTGCGCTCGACTTCATGAAATTAGATATATATATATATATATATATATAAAAACAAACACATATACAATAATTACTCAGGCTTACGATTCGAGATGCAGCTCCTGAAAGTATCAAGTAAGGCCACAGTCGCTCGAGGGACTTTTCAACCCGCATCCAGCAAGGTGAAGAACGAAAACGATGTCATCCGAAATCGGATTTCCTACTTTGACAAGTGACGCATTTCTCAACCAAAAATTCAATAAACAAACCAGCCATGAATAACAGAAGACTGTTGATAGCAGCTGTATTTAATTTTATGCATCCAGTGGAAAAAGACAGTAAAAAACATCACAAGTTGACAAAAAACTCTGTAAGCTTCAGCTGTCAAAGTAAACAAGTTTCAAGATGCTGTATAAATTTTCTGCATGAAATCACCTGTCAAATTTTGACCAATCACAGCAAAAAAATTGGACGTAGAGCGTGACCATTGCGTGACTATGGTGAGAAAAGTGAAAAGCCTCTTACCTGTCTTCCATGCTTGTATTTTTAAATGACTGGCTGAATCAGTTTGAAATCAAAAGGTTAATAACGCGAGGCCATAGTGACATTAACACTACACCTTCTGTCATCATGTCATTATTTTGCTGCCGTTCTCTTTGCCTTTGTATTTCTCTTTCGCGTTGCCTTTGTCTATTCATTCTAGCTCTGTCTCGTTCTGCTTGCCGGCGTTCTTCACTATAATTTTCTCTCCTTCTTCTCGCCCTGACATCTTTCTACTTGCCGACTTTCTTCGCTAAAACTTTGTCTTCTTCTTCTACTTCTAACGCGCTCTCTTTAGCGTCTTCGCTTGCTCTACGCGTGTTGACGTTTGCTCTCTGCCGTTCACCTTCTCTTGCTCTCTGCTTAAAACCTGTCGTCTACACGCTAAAATCTCTCTGCTGTTGTTTGTTGACATAATAGCTTTCGTAAGTTGTAATAAAAAGTTATGAAGGCTCTGTCGAAAAATCTTTTAGCTAAGTTGCTTTGAAATTTCTTTTTCAAAACCAGTTGCGCGATATAATTGCGCGACGTTGGGCCATGCGATTTCTAGCCAAAAAATCTCTACTTTCCTCTACCCCAACGGTCCATGCGGACTACTTTCCACTACCCGGAAAGTCCTTACGGAAGGACGTACGCTGACGTCATACCCAAAATTTCTCGGATGGATAGTTTACCAAATTATCTTAGTTATGGTGCTCCGCTGGCGCCCGCTTCGCGCGCGCAAGGAGCTCCGCTATAAAACTTCACAAACCAAGTTTTGTTAAAGCAAGGACTTAAGTTACACAAACGGGGATAAAAGTTTGAAATGTTTCTTTATACCAACCAAATAGATGGCCAGAAAAAACCTGTCCGAAGCAACCTCGTAGGGAAAAAAGATAGGAAATCTGGGGCGGGAAAGGCTCAGCTTACTTCGTTGGCTGCATAAAACGCCTGCACAAGTTAACAAAACCTAGAGGCTCCACAGGCTGCACGTATTAATTTGTAAACAATTCACCAGACGTTGCGCAAATGAATACTGGCTTGGCCTCAGCTCTGTGCCAGCATTCAGTCTGCTGTTGAGACAGGTAATACCAAGGCTATGTAGAAGGAATCTAGTAGGCACTTGGTCCTTCTCAGAAGGAAACAGCCCCCTTTAAATCTGCTACAGGCGAGATAATCCTGGACGGAGCCAAACAGAAAGAGCGCTTTGTAGACTATTACTTTGAGCTGTATGACAGAGAGAATTTGGTGCCTGAAGAAGCCCTGAACGTCATAAAGTGCTTACCTGTTCTGGAGGAGCTGGATATTGAACCTACAGAAGAGGAGGTGAAAGAGGCCCTAGGTTCGCCGTCTTCTGGATAAGCGCCCTGTCAGGACGGTTTTCCAGACGGACGGTTGTCCTAAAGCGACTGCAAGCGCTTGCAGAGGGAGTTTATCCTGAGTCACACTGTGGTTTCCAGGACAAACGTTAAACTATTGGTTTGATATTATCCACCAGACAATTACATGAAAAATGTACATCTCACTAATTGACTTCACTAAGGCTTTTGATCTAGTAAGCAGAGTTGGGCTCTTCAAGATCCTCCCGAAATTTGACTGCCCAGCGAAAATCCTCGGAATCATCAAATCTCTTCATAATGATCAACCTCTGATACCTTTAATATGGTTCCCACCTTATTTGGAATCGTCTTAGTCATTCTGCTGAAACACGCCTTTGGACCTTCAACTGAAGGAATGTACCTCCGAACGAGATCTTATGGTAAATTCTTCGGCCTTGCCAGATTGAAAGCCAAGCCCAAGATTCGTGAGAAGCACTTACGCAACTTCCTTTGCGCCGATGATGCAGCAGTAACCACACACTCTGCGAATAAACTACAACAACTCATGAATCGCTTTAGCTCTCCCTGAAAGTACTTCAGACTTAATATCAACCTGAAGAAAACACAAGTAACTGGACAAGATGTCACCAGTCCACCTAGCATCAAAATATTTGACGAGCAGCTTTAAGTTGTTCATGATTCTTCATCCATTTGCTCTACTTGAAGAGAAAGTCTCTGACTCCGCGATATTGAGTTGAACAACAGAATAGAAAAAGTAGCAACCACGGTGTTTAGTCATTCAAAGAGAGCAACAAGCTGACCAAACACACCAGGGTCATGGTATATAAAGCTTGCGTGCTGAGCACCATCTCGTGTGGTGGTGATTCCTTGACTTTCGCGTCAACGAGAAACGTAAACCTAACGAGGCTGAACTCAGTTTGGTTGGTTGTGAGTTGTTACCATTCATTGGGGTCTTCGTTACCAATATGAAGTTCAAATTTGGCGTGGATAAGATACATCTATAAGACATTACGTTTATTGGGTTAACTGTAAGATATCGGTCGTTGCTATGGTAACATGCAGGGGTTTCAAAAAGCACCGACGACCGCCGAAACGTGTCAATAGGGAGCTTTAGCGACGACGACGGCGACGGCAAACAGGAAGTCAAAAAAGCAATAAGTTTATTACGCAAAACAACAACTTTGCACGTGCTTCACGCCTTTTTGTACATTTCTTTACCGTCCTTGCACGACTACGACGTGAAAATGCCTAATTGCAAGTTTTATGGAGGACGTAAACAAGCAACGACGAATCTCTTTTTCCCTCTCTAAACTTGAGTGCGGTCCTCAAGAAATCAACTCCAGGGAAATTCGCCTACACTTGCCATTTTCAGCAAATTGGAATAAACGCGACAAAGATTGAAAAAACGGGAATTCATTTGACTGACGTTTCCGCTGCAGTTGCCGTAGTCGATGCTAAAGCTCGCTAATTACTTTGCTCAGAGAAGCCGGCTACTTTTTTCCCTAAAGAAGTAACAACAAGTTTTAATTATTTCGTAAAAAGTAATAATAATAATATCATAAAATGTAAATAAAAAGGTAATGATAATATTGCGTAAAGGCAGTCTACTTGTATTTTATGCTTTTATAGTTATAAATTTAAAAAATGCGGTATTTTAGTCATACCCTGGAAGCTAGGGCCGTTTTGCTTATCCCAGTGACGATGGATTTTGGTAGATTAGAGCACCTTATTTTAGCCCAGCTAGGTGGTTCGTGGTTTCAATTTTATAGCTATGTTCATCGAAGCATATTTTATGTAGATCTGAGCTGGATAAATTTCTCCCAGAGGGCTTCTCACTGTAATGGCCTATACGGTTAGGCTCCATCTGAGAGGGACCGACAACAGTGAAAATAAATTCAACAAGAAAGCGAGGCTGAAAGTCGCAGCCATATAAATTCTAAGAAACGCACTCCACCAGGAAACCAACATGTTCATACATCTCCTTGGACTTCTCCAAGATACTTTTAGCAAAGCTTTGCCCTTTGTTTGCTTGAACGTTTGAACGACTATTTCGGAAACCTGTGCAAATTTCTCAAGTTTGCAACGCTCTAACTAAATTAAAGCGAACGGCTACAGGTCCTGATGACATCCCTTTCTGGGTCTGGAAGGATTATGCCGAACTATTAACGACGGTTATAACTGAAGTCTGGAATTTACCGCTGTCAACTCACAGCTGGCCGGACTCTTGGAAGAGGGCGAACATCAACCCCCTTCCAAAGATCGACCTCATGATCCCCAATGAGAATTCTGACTACAGAGACTACGGAGGTTATTTCGGGTACACTTACCTCTTGAGAAATTTGCACAGGTTTCCGAAATAGTCGTTCACGTTATCAGCTAAACTTAAGCAGCTACCCCTCAATCCTTACATCGTTAACTTTTACCGTACACTGTAGCTTTTTGTTTGCTAGGCAACAGCGAATTTTCTACAATAATCACCTCTGTAACTGGAAGGTCGTTAACAAGGGAACCACCCAAGGAATCGTAGGCATTATCTATTTAATATATTTTTGAATGACTAGAAATTTCTTATAACAGTGTTCCTGCTCCAACAATACAATACAATAGTGTCTCCTGTTACTTTCGGAATTAGCAGCCTTTGGGGCTCCTTACTTAACAAAGTTGGCGCTAGGTCTTTCAAACAACATTTTATTTGTGTTATATGGTATAAGTAACAGAAATACAAGTACTAAATACAGCAATACTCTGATTAAAAACGAGAGCAATGATTAACAAATGAGAAGGAATTCATTTGTCCAGTTTCATACGAAGAACGATAGTTTCAGGCATACCATGTTGTTGCCTTGTTTTAAAGTGCTGTATCGTGATAAATTTGTAAATGCACGAAGATATTTATTTAGTATTGTACATTAAAAATTTGACTATGGATTGCAAATAGAAAACAACTGATAAAGGCATTCGGTATGTTTACAATGCAATTTGAAAGAAAAATCTTAGTCTCGATACTCTTTGCCGGGTCTCGCTACTTTCGGGGGGCTCGCTATTTTCGGGACTTATAAGAAGTCACTGACTTTTGACGTTACTTTCGAGGGGTCGCTACAATGGGAACTTTACGGTAGTTATCAGTGTGATCCGTCTGCGAAATTGTGGAACAATTCATGGCATGGTCTAAAGA